GTGGAGTGAGAGAGAGGGCCAAGAAGGACTGATTTACAAGTTTCATGTTTGGAAGCTAGGGCATTCACCACAAGGAAGCACTAGCAAGTGGGGTAAGTCACAGCTCTATTTGTGTCATTTAATGTCACTATCAGTGTCATCCATTGCCCTGCCAGGTAGGGATAGATATATATGAGTAGAGATATATGAGATAGAGATATATAAGTTTGGCTGATCAAATTTTTTAAACAATGAAGAATAACAGAAACTAGGAATAGCTGAAAGAGTCAACCTTAAGATAGTGAAGAAAGGGGCTGGGGAGAGGACTCAATGGTTAGAGTACTGGCTGTTCTTGCAGAGGACCCAGGTTGGATTCCCAGCACCCACATGGTGGCTAACAACTGTCCATGACTCCAGTTCCAGGAGACCTGATGCCCTCTTCTGACCTCCATGGGCATTGTACAACATGGGTGCATTTAACATACTTGCAGACAAAACATTCATAAAGATTTTTTAAAAATTTAAAGATACTGAAGAACGATTGCTCAGAAAAGTTGTTTGCTAATTTCTGAAACATGAAACTACAAGTATAAGAAAGTTCATTAAAATAAGCCGGAGCTGGAAGACTGAAGAGGAAGGCAAGCCGCAGGGAACTGAGACAACAGCAGTGGAGATGGGGAGTGTCTGATGGCTGCTAGAAACAACTAAATCCACCATGACTCTACAGGAGAGGAAAAGAGCCTCGGGTCAAAGGTCAAAGGAATGGGTACTTGGAGAAATTACCATCCAAAGCTTTTATTCATACAACTTGCAGGGTGGAAAGCAGTGGGGTTGGAGGTAGGTCAGGGGTAACTGGAGAGAGAGTCAGGTAGAATGTGATTCCTGTCAGCAAGATCATTGTTCTTGTGCTTTCTCTTCTGTATAACCCACACAGGGTATTGTCCATAATAGTTGAACAGGAATTATTTACTTAATAACTAATTGGAAGTATAAAAGAAATAGATGATAACTTTGTGTTCATTTAGTACATACCATCTGTGAATTGTGCTGTGCACAGCCAATGAGAATTGTTTTACTCCAGGAGAAACACCACTTGTTCATTCATTTATTTTACAGGTATTAAGAGTTTGGTAGGTCCACCTGGCTATGCCCTAGGGAATAACATTTTCTTTCTCTTGAATGTGTTTAGAGGCTTGTAGGGCAAAAAGTCTATGTTTTAAAAGTTTAAGTTCAATCTTTGGGTTCTAGCAAAACTATCTCAACTATGTTTCTCATCCCATACTAAGCAAGAGACAGACTGGCTGGGCCTGCTCTCTGCCTTGCTTTCCTGAGGAAGCAAGGATACCACACAGACACCAGAAATAAGTACCTTAGTAAAATATCTTCTCCTAGAAGGCAAAGAGTAACTTTGCTGAGGTCTAGTATCTGAAATAGTCTATCTAAAGTAGTAATTATTTTAAATAGGGGCTCTGTACAATGCACTCCTTCCTTTCTTCCTTCCCTTTCCCATCAACTCTAGTTTCAGTTCAGTGACTGGAGGGATTGTGTGAAAGAACTATAAGGAACTTTGGCTAGGTATGACATTTCAAATTAACATGTACTTAACCACCAATACTAAAGGTGTCAGGATACATTCCCAGCGTGCTTGTGGCCTAAGTCTGTAGAGTATGGAGGTGAGGTCGCAGGGTGAGTACCTAGCAGAAGGAGGCCCCGCCCCCCCAACCTAGAAGGGAACCAATAGCCATTCCTGGAGACGGGGCTCTTGAGAATGACTGACATGGAAAGTGACCAATCAGAACGGAAACTGGTTCATGTGGGCCAGAGCTAGTGTTCTGAGGTTCTAGTAAGAGGTGGAGATTGATGAGGACGATTTTCAGGCCGGGAGCTATTTATTAATCTGTAAGAAAGTGTTTCGGTTTTGCAAATAACTGAGACACTCTAATGCTACTGTAGTTGGATATCAAAATGAATAAGTAGATGTAAGACATTTTTGCTTCCTTTGAAGCCACCTGTAAAAAAAAAAAATCTGTGCAACGGTATCACTACTTTCTTCAGTCAAGTCTTTCTCTGTTTTAGCAGCTTAATACACATTTATTTTGATGTGTGCATTTTCAATTGCTTTGATAAGTTTTAAGATTTTTCTGGCTGGGGTAGCTATGATTCTTCCCCCTGCCTCCCACCCCCATCCCCTTTGCCAACGTTCTTGAATTTTATTCATTTCATAAGATTGTTGTCAGATTTTAGGCAGATGAAAGATATACATGATCTTTAGAAATTCTAATTTTCCTTTTAATTCATTCAGTGTAAAACCGTGGGGGACCTTCCATGGACTGATCACAGTGTTAGTCATTCTTACATAGTTCTCTGTTGTTGAGAGGATCAAAGGGCAGGATCTCAAAGTCAATATCTTTATGAATGTAATGATGCTGACAAAGGCAGAAGCCAAAGTGACTCAGATTCCAGAGTTCCTAAGGTCTTGGTATTTGATAAAATAGAGATAAGTTTAACAAGCCAAGAAAACCACAGTCCTCTCCTTAGAATAATTTCAGTGTCAGATGGGCCTTAAAAATCACCTAGTATGGAGACCGGAGAGATGGCTCAGCAATTAAGAGCCATGGCTGCTCTTGCAGAGGACCCAGGTTCAAGTCCCAGCACCCACATGGTGGTTAATAACAGTGCAGTTCCAGGGGATTCGATGCCCTCTTCTGACCTCCACAGGTATTGCACAACATGGGTGCACTTAAACATGTACAGACAATACACTCACACACACAAAATTTTTTAAAAATCATCTAGTATGTTTAAAGGGAAAAAAAGTAGTGAATGTTGTTTCAAGAAATGGTTTGTAGAGAACTGGGGATGTAGCTTAGTGGTAGAGTGTTTGGCTGGCATGTGTGAGGCCCTGGGTTGGCTCCTCAGCACTGATGGGGGAAGTGGTATTTAATTCAGTAGAGAAATATAGTGGTAAGAAACTAAAACTAACTCCAAGGAACCTAAGCAAAAGGGGTGGAATTTATTATAAAGTAATAATAGCAAATGATGTGTATGTATGAAATATACTTCTTTATGTGCTAACTTAAAATTAAAAAATAAAAATAAAAGAAACTACTGTCTGATAAACCCCAGAGTAGGATGCACATGGGCCTTGGGAAACGCAGAGAGCCACAGACTGAAAGAAAGCTGTTACACCTAATCAACTTCTCTGCTCTTTCTGCTTCCCTGACCCACAGGGCAGTATCTTTATTTGAAATATTTTTGTCATTAATTACCCGTTACTAGAATTGTTCTATCTGAGGATAGATAACAATAATTTGAGACTGTGGTAGAAGTCATATCTTTATTGAATGGAAGGAAGGAAAGTTAGAATTAGCTATATCTTTAAGCTGTTTTATTTTTAATATTTTATTTATTTAGTTTTTAATGTGTATGAGTATACTGCCTGCATGAATGTAAGTGTGCTCATGTCTTGCAATGCCTGCAGAGGCCGGAAGAGGGTGTTGGAGTCCCTGGAACTGGAGTTACAGATGGTTGTTAGCCACCATGTGGGGTGCTAGGAGCTTAACCAGAGTCGAGTCCTCTGCAAGCAGCCAGTGCTCTTAATCATTGAGTCATCTCCACCACCCCCCTCTTTAGCTATTTCATTTATTTATTTATTTATTTATTTATTTATTTATTTATTTATTTATATTTATTGGTCTTTTTGAGACAGGGTCTTCCTGTAGCCCCAGCTGGCCTGGAACTCACTATGTAGACCAGGCTGGCCTTGAGCTCACAGAGATCCGCCTGCCTGTGCCTCCTGAGTTCTGGGATTAAAGGTGTGCGCCACCACACCCGGCCTATCTTTAGCTATTTTAAATGTACTCTACCAACTTAGGCTTCATACATACAAAAATTGCCTTCCACCTCTCATCATCTCTGTTAATAGCACCATTGGTTTCTTTCTCTTACCTATTTCTACTCTTCATCTTTCACATGGAATCAATCACAAGGTCTTATTGAGTCTTATCCCAAAAGTTTCATGAAATAATTCTGTTGTCTTCCAATTGAAGGTAATTCAAAATGTAACAAAAGCATGTATTCTTTAACCTATGGGTAAAAGTTAAGAAAAAAAAAATCACATCAAGAGCCAGAGGTGGTGTCATATACCTATAACCCTTGCATGTGGGGAGCTGTGAATGGATGACTATAGATGACTGTGAATTCAAGTCCAGTCTAGACTATATGGCCAGAACCTACACCAAAGGGCATTTGGGGCCACAAATTTGACTCTATAGCATATATGTATATATATATATATGAAATTGGGCATGGGGGAAAGGGGATTGCAGATAGGGAAGGGGATCTAAATATGATAAAATGTATGAAATTCAGGAAAATTTAATAAAAATTATTTTCATAATAAAAAAGTGGTTGTCTACAAGTTGCTTCAAAAGCAAGTGAAAACCCACTCATTGGAAGATGCAGTAAGACTACCCTTTTACATGCCATAACAGAGGTGCCTGAGAGTATAGATTTGGGTAGGGTGAATGACCTAGGTAATCTCTGAGGTCTTATATTGTACATTTATTCATATATTCAATAAATATTTGCTGATCTCGTCAGAAACTGTTCAAGAATCTGGTGGCAATATAAACATCAAAGTCCAAAAAAAATCTTTAAAAAATCCCTGCGAAGAGAGTACAAATGTATGAAATATTATGTTTATAATATATAGTTTTCTATAAGATAACCAAATTAAATCTGAAAATCAATAGCTTTTCAGTTTCACATTCTGTTCATCTAAAAATCCACTCTCAATCCTTTCAAACTGTCTGTCCAAAACTTAAAGAATCAAGAAACTAGACAATTGTTTCAGATTAGCTCCACGCCCCATGAAAAGACAAAACTTACTGAAAGTTGGAAATCTAGTAAAGTGGGCCGGAGTTTGGGCGCTTAAAGGAACAAAGAAGAACCGCGGAACTAATGTTGTCGTAACTGTGCGTCCCGGGGGGGAAGCCAGTTCGAGGGACCGGTAGTGGAAAGCGCTAGAGCAGTTTCCGGCCACCTCAGCGGGAAGCGAGACGGAGGCAGCTAGCTGTCTGGGGACCGAGGCGGAGGTGTAACTGGTCGCCGCGGGGGAAGTGAGTACCGTGACTGCGACCGTCGCGTCTCCGCAGCCTGGAAGATGGTGTTGCTGACGATGATCGCCCGCGTGGCGGACGGGCTTCCGCTGGCCGCCTCCATGCAGGAGGACGAGCAGGTACGCTGGTGCCAGCGCCCCGGGTCCCAGTGATGGAGGCGGTCCTCGGACGTGGGAGACCCTCGCGGCCTCGCAGGCTCCCCTGGGCCTCTGGAGTGCTCTTTTCTCTTTGGGTGGTGGAGAGACTACAGAGAGAAGAAACCTTACCGAAGGAGGAGATAGAAGCTCTGCAGGAGGGACGCCTTTGGTTAATTGTGGTCACCTAGTGTTCCATGGCTTTTTAGGGACTTTCCGAAAATTCAGGACTTATGATTGCCAATTAAGGTTGCAGACCGTCAGATCTCTGGGAAAGATCACTCCTAATTTCTTCACCTCGTTTTCTTGTAGCACCTGATCCTTGACCTAGCTTGCTGACATCATTTGAAGGTGGATGAAGTAATGTTGCCACTTATAAGTAGTTGTCAAAGTTCAGTGCAGTACCTGCTTTCAAGGTTATGCCCAATTCTCTCACCTGCCCTAAGAAGTCCAACTAGATTTCTACAATTCATTGGATTTTATTACTTGTCTCGGTCTTTTGATAAATTGAGTTTCCTGGCAGTTTCATAGCAGTCTCTTGTGTTATCCATAGATCTTACAGCAGCTCGAAGCTTAGAAACATATCCAATTGATTAAAAACAGAAACTTCAAATGTCTAAAAGAAAGCTGCTCTGTGCCTTAGAAGCACAAAGGAAATCTTCTATATGAGACATGTTTCTTGATCAACTTAATTTTACTTTCTCCCACAACCCAAGTAGTTTCATCAAACTTGAGGCCTAAAACCAAATTCTAAAAAGAAAAGTGCACATTTCTATTCTTGGACTTTTTATTCCTAATGTTCGTGGAAAAAAGAATCTTACTGAATATATTAAATGTGCCAGTCATGTTGGTTGTTTGGGGGGATTGGACTATACCATCTCTATCTTCATGGAGTTTGCAGTTCAGTGGAAATACTAAATAACTAACTATTGTAATTAGTAGGATCATTATAGAAGAGGAAGACTGTTGAGTGGTTAAACACAGAAAGATAACTTAAGTTGGTTTGGGGAGATCAAAAAAGATTTCCCTGAAAAGAAATCTAAGCTGACAGCAAAATGGAATAGCAAGGAAAATTTCTATTTGGTTTTATGCCATTTTAGGTTTGAAGTAATGTTTACTTTCACTTTAAAAGGGTTGTAATGCAGATGATAAAGTTTCAGGTCATACGGAATGAGATACAATTTATTCATTCTTCAAAAGAAAGTTTATTGAAATGTATTGTGAAAAACATAACATACTCTGCATTTTCAACTGTGAAAGCTTTTCTGTTCAGTTTGCTGAGTTTCCTAGAACTAGTTTGCCAAAAGAGTGTGTGTGTGTGTGTGTGTGTGTGTTTTCCTATATGTATGTAAGTGTATCTTGTGCAATGCCACAGAGATCAGAAGAAGGCTTCGGATTCCCCTGGAACTGGAGTTAAGGATGCCATGTGGGTGCTGGGAATCGAACCCGGGTCCTCTGCAAGAGCAGTCAGTATTCTTAACCACTGAGTCATCTCTCCAGCCCCAACCAAAAGAGTATATTTAAATGAGCCAAAGAATATGACTTGAGCAAGGAAGATAGAATGGAGGAATTCCTTAAAGGACTTGTACTTTGAGAAATATTTTCTCCATAATGGGTGGCAGTAGGGCAGAGTGGGGCAAAAGCTGATCAGTTTTCCAACTACTGCATTGAATTTTGATGTGAGGGGAAAAAAACAGAGTGGATTTGAAATGCTGTTTAATATTAGCAGTCCTTACTTTCTGTCTTGTTTTTTTTTTAACTTAATTTTAAACTTGATATTGGTTTGTTATTGGTCTGTCAAAATGGATTACTTTGTTTCATTGATAAGGTAATTTTACCCATAGTATTTTTATGATTCCATCATACTTTCCTTTAGTAGTTTTGATTTTGAATTAACAGTCTTTCTAAACTTTAATGTTTCAGCCTTACAAAAACCTACAAAAGTTTCAACCTTAGATTTATTTTTACTCTTATAATTGTATACAGAGGAATTTGTTGAGTGCCTTCTACACACTAAGCATTGTTCTAAGCCTGTTAGTGTGTTATTTTATTCAATCTTCATACCAACCATCTTAGAGAGTAGGTACTACTATTATCACCCTTTGTAGATAAGGAAGTTGTGAGGTTTACAAAGAAAAGGTCACTTGCTTAAAGCCACACAGTTAACAAGTAGGACAATGGCTTTTCTCATTGGGAATTTTTGTTGGTTGAGGTTTTTTTCTTATTTTTTTTTTTTTTAACCTTGACACTGTTCACATCTTGGCAAGTACTTTACCATCTGACCTATCTCCTCAGCTCCCTGTTCACATTTTGGGATGGACAATTGTTTAATATGAGGGCGTATACTATCCTTTTTGTTTGGGATGTCTAGTAACCTCCCTGGCCTTTACTCCTAGATGGTAGTAGCATACTTCCTATCCCTTGGTTGTAACAACTCAGAACTACTTCTTGACCTTTCCAAATGTCTCTTTGGGGACAAGAATCATTCCTGGTTGAGAACCACTGAGTAACAGTAATCAGTATTTTATCAGACTACTGTTTTTTAATCAGTATTTGTCTGGCTTTAGACCAGAGCCTTAGTGCCTACAACTATACACTACTGCCTTGTTTTAAGACTTTTCAATGATGTATTTACTTCTTTGGGGTGGGGGCAGGGGAGGTTGAGACAAGGTCTCATTATGTTCCAGCTGGCCTGGAACTCACTACATAAACCATCCCAAGCTGGCCTTGATCTTGAGATCCATCTGCCTCTGCCTCCCCAATGCTGGGATAAAAGTATACCTGGCTTATATATTCACTTCTTACTATTCCAAGTCCAGAAATTCCTTTTTTTTTTTTTTTTTTTTTTGAGACATGTATTATATAGCTACGACTAACCTTGAACTCATGACTCTGGGAGAACTAATATAAACACTTTTATTTCAGCATTTAGTTATTAAATATCTGCCAAAGGAAGACTGTGGTCCAGTCTTTCAATCAAAAATAAGTAATTCCGAATTAGGATAATTATGTCTTTCCATCCCATGGCAGTGTCTATAAGCTAGGTATAAACATCTTCTCTTGACCTAGAGACTGAGAAGTCCAAGATTAAGAGACTTGCAAATTGGATGTCTGTTCCTAGCTCATAGATAGTAACTCTGGGTAGGTCTTTGCATGATACAGGGGTCAATTTAGCTGCTTGCAATTTCTTTAAAATATTTCGTTTATTATTTCACCGCCTGCATGTATGTAAGTGCATCCATGTTGTGCACTGCCCACCAAGGTCAGAAAAGGATGTTGGATTCCCCTGAAACTGGAGTTACAGACTGTTGTTAGCCACCATGTGGGTTCTGGGACTCAAACCTGGGTCATCTGCCAAGTGCTCTTAACCGCTGAGCCATCTCTCCAGCCCCTGTCTGCCTGTGATTCCTTATAAGAACACTGTTCCTAATCATTAGGGCACCATCCTTCTGCCTAATCACCTCCCAAAGGCCCCACTTCCTAATACAATCACCTTGGTGCTGAAGATTTCAACTTACATAATCCTGGGAGATAGAAACCTTCAAACCACAGCTAGCAGAAAGGCCTCCCTCTCCTACCCTGTGCTGTTCCTCGATCTTCATGTACTTCATTTCTCTTCTGAATCTAGTAGGTTAGGAGTATGACTTTTGTCTCTTTAAATGATCTACTACAGCAGACCCCTCTTTCTTTTTAAAAACACCTATAAATTGTTTAGGGAAATACTAACTATACCATTTGAGTGGTTGGTTTTGTTTGTTTTATAGGGTTGTTTTTCTTTGCACATATCTTCTCTTTATTAAAACTTGGTATCTAAACTCGAGAACGAAGTAGATTCATGTAATAAAGGATATTTGACTTTTTTTTTCTTTTTTCTGGCCTAGTGACAGTGACAGTGTTCATGGAGTTGTCAGTCATATGCACATTTAGTTTCGCTCACATGCCCTTCTAGTTTGTGGAAGATTCTGTGAATATTCAAGCATAAAAATGAGTTTCATTAGTCTTTTATTCTCAGAATTTTCTCCAGAGTGCAGCACAGGCCATGCAGTTCCATGCCAGCAACTGTGTATGGGAAATGGGTCAGGAGGATACTGACCTAATAGTGGAAAGAAGAGTGTGTGCCTTAAATGGAGTCGAAATGCACACTTTTACTTTGTAACAGTTCAGTATATGATCTTGAAGAACTAGGAATTAGGGCTTCCTATTTGTTCTAAAAGTAGGATGTTTTTCTTTATCAAAATAAATCTTATTAACCTCTAAATGAAAGAGCTTATTTACATAGTATTTTCATGATGTCATGATGCTTCCAACTAATTGATACAACTTTGTATGTGGTGAGTAAAATTCTAAGTGATATTATCTTCTTTTAGTCTGGCCGGGACCTTCAACAGTATCAGAGTCAGGCTAAGCAACTCTTTCGAAAGCTGAATGAACAGTCACCTACCAGATGTACCTTGGAAGCAGGAGCCATGACCTTTCAGTAAGTGTAGCCTTGATTTCTTTATGGTTGTTCAGATAAGAAATTCAGTAATAAATACAACACCTTGTAAGAAGAGTAACTTCTCTAAGGGAGAGACTCTAGATAGGCTGACTAGACCCCAGTGAATGAACTTGCACTGAGGGACATCTGGGTACACTAATTTGACTTGATAAGCTTTAACATGTATGACAGAGTGCTTGGACTCTAGGGGGGCAGACTATAGGAGGGTGTAGATGGGGAAGGGCTATAAAGATACTTAAGATGTTTTGTATGAAATACTCAAATATTCAGTAAAAAATATACATTAAAAAAAAAAAGAATAGTAGCAGTAGGGTGCTGGAGGGATGGCTCAGTAGTTAGGAGAGCATACTGTTCTTGCAGAGAACCTGAATCCGGTTCCCAGCACCCACATCAGATGGCTCACAACTGCGTATAATTCCAACTCTGTAGGATCTGACACCTTCTTGGGGCTTCTGCTGGCATCCGCACTCATGTGCATAGACACACACACATACGCATAATTAAAAATTAAGTTAAAAAGTAATATAATTTCTTTGTGTGCTGCATGTTCATGTGTCATGAGTGTGCAAGGGTATTATGTCTGTGCGTACACATGCAGGTATGTTTAGGGAGTGCAGAGGACAACTCTGGTGTCATCCTCAGGCTTTATCCACCTTTTTCTTTTTCTTTCTTTCTTTTTTTTAAATGACAGGATTTCACTGGCCCGGAACTCCTAAGTAAACTAAGATAGCTAGCAAGCAAGTCCCAGAGATCTGGCCATCTCTGCCTCGCCAGCACTGGGATCACAGATGTGTGCTCCATACATGGCATTCTTCCTACATGGGATCTAGGGATCCAACTTAGGTCTTCATGCTTGCAGTGCATGCAGTTTGCCATTGAGCTCTCTCCAGCCCATAAAAATACAGTTTCTTAAAAGTAAAGATGAATTTCAAAATATAATCTCTTCAGGAAACCAACTTTTCTGGCTCTAGTTCTACAAAACTGAAGTCTTAGTTTTCTTATTTAGCATGCTTATAGTAATTTAACCTGTTAATCTGTGTCCAGTAAATTCTGTACCATGATGCAATAATAGATAACTTCTTGGATCCAGACAGAAGTTTACTAACAGTGTTACAGAGCCTTAATTTTCTTTTTTTTAAAAAAAAATTATTATTTTTATGTGTATGAGTATATTGCTTACATGTAGGTAGGTGCGCCTGTGTTGTGCAATGCCTGCAGAGATCAGAAGAAGGCATCAGATCCCCTGAAACTGGAATTATAGACTATTGTTAGCTGCCATGTGGGTGCTGGGAATCAAACCTGGGTCCTTTGCAAGAGCAGCCAATGCTCTTAACCTCTGAGCCATCTCTCCAGCCCTAATTTTCTTTTTAAAGGGTTCCTCTACAAGGATTTTAAGGGGATAACATGTTCTTAGCATCTTTCCTGACACATAGGAAATAATCAGTATTATTTAGGAAAAAAAATAAAAGAATTTTAAAACATCTAAATCAGTGGTTATAGAAGCGATAGGTTTTCTGTTTGTTTGCTTGTTTTTCATTACTGAGTGTTGAACCAGTGCCCTATAGATTCTACATCTATAGTCAACCAGCTGTGGATTGAGATTTTTCAAAAATTTGTACCTGTACTAAACAGATGGAGTATTTTTTCTTGTCATTATTTGCCAAACAATATAACTTAGCAGCTATTTGTATAGAATTTATGTTCTGTTAGGTATTTTAAGCAATCAAGATATTTTTCCAGGTATATGAAAGCAGAACTAGTAAGAAACGACAGCATAAGCAGATGCAGAACTGTGTTTATTAGAGAACACCATGCTGTGTGGTGTATTAGGCTATTTGATAAAATATGGTGTACCCTTCTGAAGGGCTATAGATACTGTACCAAAGATATTTTTTAAATTTTTATGTGTATGAGTGTATTGTCTGCATGTAAGTGCACCCTTGTTGTGCATTGCCCATGGAGGTCAGAAGAGGACATCTGATCCCCTGGAACTGGACTTAAGGGTGGTTGTTAGCTGCCATGTGAATGCTGGGAACTGAACCCAGGTTCTCTGCAAGAACAGTCAGTGCTCTTAACCTCTGAGCCATGCCTCCAGCCCCAGGAGTATGTTTGTTTTTGTTTTTGTTTTTAAATAGATATTATGCATCCTCTGTACTTATATGCATGTCTCTATATAGGGTGATAAGGTCCTATTTACTTTTCTGGGGACAAAACTGATGGTATAAGAGATGGTATAGATCAAAGTGAAGGAGATCGGTTAGTTCAAGTCCCCAACAAGTCATAGGACAGCAGTATTATCAAAACTACTTTTAGGTCCCTGAGAGAGTATGTAGTAGTCTTCAGGTTACTCTCTAGGGTTCCAGGATACCTTGGGAGTTAGGTACAAAAGGCAGAAATGGGAGTTTTTGTCAGACTTGGGCCCTTAAACAAAAACCCTCTGATTTTGTCTACTGTGCACTTTAGCTTTTTGAGTGTAAGTTGTGCTAGAATAAAGAATACTATGACTAAAAGGCTTAAAAAGCCTTTAGTAGCTTAACTTTTTCCTAGGGATATCTTAGAGTAACAAAGCCGCATCCCAGAATGCCAGAGAGCTGAGTGTCACAGGAGGAAGTCACTTCTGTTGTCGACTAGTTGATCAGAGTTCTTCTAGCTATAAATAGGCAACATGACTAGTTTTGTCTTATTTAGCTTCCAACTTTTTTCTCTAGAAATTTCTAGCTGTTTTACGTTGTGGCTGGAAGGACTTTAATATGTATACCCTAATATATATTTGCCATTCAAGGTCAGAGGGTAGATGGAGTCATAGCTGTAGTTTGCAAGGAAAACTCTTAGATACTGAGATATGTTCGTTGAAAATTTGTGTAGTGAATAAACAATTATGATATGTCTCCTCCTTTTTGGATATACTTTTAATAGTGGGAAAATGGTTGCTTTCCTATTCCAAAGATTTTTTTTATCTGAAATTAGCTTTCTGATTTAGCTAGCTTTAATTTAGGCCAGATATTTTCAAAAGTTTATATAGTACTGAAAGTCAGCTTTGGCCTGAAGTGTCGTTACTTTATATACTACTTTGTCTTGCTTTTTTTCCCTCCAGCTACATTATTGAGCAGGGGGTGTGTTACTTGGTATTGTGTGAAGCTGCCTTCCCCAAGAAGTTGGCTTTTGCTTACCTGGAAGATTTGCACTCAGAATTTGATGAGCAGCATGGGAAGAAGGTGCCCACTGTGTCAAGGCCCTACTCCTTCATTGAGTTTGGTAAGGTTGGACTCTCTAGTAAGGTCTCTCTGTTAAGGAAGCAAACACTTTGGAGAAGATTTTCCTCTACTGACAAAATACTGACAGTTTCCCCTTATGTTTACTCAGGACAGTTTTGGGTCTGCCTCCTCTCCAAATTTACCTTTTTGTCTTTTTGAATGAAGAAAATGTCCTTCTTTAAATTATTTATTATTTTTATTTTATGTGTATGAGTGTATGTAAGTGTACCCATGTCATGCAGTGCCTGTGGAGGCCAGAAGAGGGTATTGGATCTCTTGGAACTAGACTTACAGACTGTTGTTAGCCACCATGTGGATGCTGGGAACCAAACCCAGGTCCTCTGCAAGAGCAGCCAGTGCTCTTAACCACTAAACCATCTCTCCAGCGTCAAGACTTCCTTCTTATAAGCACTTTCTCTTCTAGTCTTTTGTTATTTTCCCCACAGAACGTGAACCATTTTTATTATTTGGTTTGTTGTTTGTAACAGGAATTATTCATGAAGATCTATTTGACTACCTTATAATAACTGAGTTTTTTCCCCCCAACCTGTAGACTCACACAGTAAGACTCATTTTATGGAAATCAGAATTAGGAAATCAGGAAGAATAGTGTTTGTTTCCTTTGGTAGAGTAAGATCCTCTAATTAGAAAATATATGGTATTGATTGTGTTGGAGAATAGTATTTACTACATTAAGAAGTAGCAAGTGTGGGTGTCTGTATTTGTACAGGAATTTTGGAAAGACTGCAAATCCTGTAAAGGGATCTGATATCAGTAGATCAAAGGCAAGGATCGCATTGTTGAAATCTTTAGCTGTCTTAGAATTTTTGAAGTTTTTCAAGTTTCTTAAGATAAATGAGTCATCTTGATTTATAAATAATAGAGAAAATTTGACAAAGCATTCAGTATTTAATTTCATAACTGTACATTTGTAAAATGCTGATTTATTTTTTCCTATTTTAGTTTTACTTCAGACTGCCTATGTACACAAATTGAACATGTCACAAATGCTAATTTTTATGATGTCCAGTTTTTCAAATTTTATTTTTCAAGATAGTATGTATAGTAAATCTAAGGAAAAAAAATAGGTCAGCTACACCAAGTTCACAAAGGAAATAGATGGTTCATGAAGCTAGTTTAAGGCACTAAACACAAAGATATAAATGGGCTGCAAGGTGACCACAGGCATGGTACCTTGGATTATGAACAGCAGTTGTTCCCATCCCTTAGGCTGAAGTTCTAAAGGGAAGGAGCAGTGTCTGAACTAAAGACGAGAAAATTTAGAGGGGAGACCAGCTTGAGCGGAGTAGGAACTGTTGGTCAAGGGGTGCTACTTGTCCAAAGTGTCTTTTCTTGATGGAGGTGACATCACTGCCTGTTAGAGCTCCTTCACTGCCTGATCCGACTAGCCAATGGAGGATAAGAAGCACTGATGTTCTCCGTACAGTCAGATCCCCAAAGTGCAGCAGAGTGGAGCAGGATCAGGAGGCAGACGGAAGGCATCTAGCACACATAACAGATTTTTTGCCAAGAGTTGAAGGTATTTTCAATAGGAGGTCATGCCTACAGTTTTGAGAAACACAGACAGGCTACAGGTGGGTGAGGCTGCAGTTTTGTATTGGTGTTTTGGGAAACTTTCTATCATGCTTGATTTACTTGAAGTGTAAGAACAGGGTTAATTTAGGAAGTGTATTGATCATTAACTCTTCTCTGCCATTTTGGGTGGTAATGATAGAGTGTTGCTAGTGCTGTTTTATGGATGTTTAGAATTAAGTCATGAGTCCCAAAGAGTTCTCTGAATGTACTTTGAAATTTTTCTGTCTTCAGGAAAGATTTGTTAGAGTGGGTCTTAATTTCTCTAAGAATTCTTAATAGCAAATACCTTTAGTTCAGAGGTATCCAAGGGACATTTCTCCTGAATGGCCATCTTCACATTTTACAGATGAAGAAGTCAAAGTCCACAGTAAACAGTGGACAAATGGCAGGTCTGGGAGTAAACTCAAGACTGGACAGCGGCAGATCTAGGAATAAACTCAAGGTCTGATTACCTACTTTGGTATTTTGTTGGACAGGAAAGTGTTAATGGTTACTTTTCATCATTCTAGATACCTTCATTCAGAAAACCAAGAAACTCTACATTGATAGTCGTGCTCGGAGAAATCTAGGCTCCATCAACACTGAATTGCAAGATGTGCAAAGAATCATGGTGGCCAATATCGAGGAAGTCTTACAAAGGGGAGAAGCGCTCTCAGGTAGCTGGAAGCAGCATGAGTCTTGGAAGAGGTGCTCTGTTCCCTGGCAGGAGCAGCTTGCTTGTGCTGCCTATTGTCGCTGTCAGATTCTAGCTCCGACTCTAAAGAATTCATTTATCAGCAATAGCTTACACTACAAAGCTTCCAATGTGGTTTTTTCACTTTGCATATGCATAGTTCTTCTGAATTAGAACAGTATGAAAGATTCATTCAGGATCATTTACTGTTCCTAAGAATTTACAAAAGTAAGTAAATTGAATTCAGAAACATTTGTACAGGTTAAGGACACTAAAGGAAAGAATAAGAGGCGATTGTCAAGGATTGTCGCCTCCTTGGAGTCTCTCTGGGAGATGCTACTACTGCTTGGCCAGTTTTATTAAAAGCCATTTTCAACAAAGAATTCTCTGCTAAAAAAAATTTAAATCTGAGACTACAAAATAATGTCTAGTCTGCTCTTGGTGTACTTTGTTCATTCCCTGCTGAGTGCTTGTTGCATGTAAGGCATTGTGGCTCTGTGCTCTGGGCCTGGAAAAACGAGACTACAGACATGTGTCGTTCTCCTGAGTTCAAATATGTTTCAGGCAGGTCAGCTTCTTGCCATTTTTTATTTTGTTTTGTTTTGGTTTTTTGTATTCATTTGTTTTTGAGACAGGGTCTCCTGTAGCCCCTGATAGCCTGAAGCTCTCTATGTAAATCAGTCTGGCCTCCATTTCACAGAGATTCGCTTGCCTCTGCCTCTGGAATGCTGGGATTAAAGGTGCCACGCACCACCATGCCTGGCTCCCCTGCCATTCTTTTCTTTTTAAGGTTAAATAATTGCTTTATTAACTTCAGTACCAAATCTATATATAAAAAACGTAAACCTGTTCAAAATTATAACATACATTGACATAGTATGACAATTGTGGGTATACAGTTCACATACTGCAGTTACACTGTGTACTAAAAAGGCAATATTTAACAGGTTCTCTAAGATTCAAGATTAAAAACCACAGTGCCTTCACTGAATAACATGCTTGCAAATAGGTGCTGCCTGAAGACTGCACACGTGTGACCTTCACATTGCCTTTCCTTGCCATTCTTTCTTTTGTTTTGTTTTGTTTGGTGAGACAGGATCTCCTTGTAGCCCCAGCTGGCCTGGAACTTACTATGTAGACCAGGTTAGCGTTGAACTCACAGAGATCCGCCTGCCTTTGCCTCCTAAGTGTTGGGATTAAAGGTGTGCGCCACCATGCCCGGCTTCCTTGTCATTCTTAATGGGGCATTCTGACTGCATGCTCACCAGTTCTTTCAGACACAGACAAAACTGCCTCAAAGACACCTTCCCTGATTCTTATAGTCCATGTCACATTAATCTCTTCTACTTTAAACTCATAAACTATTTAGTTACACAGTTTTTAGCACCTAATTGTATAATGTTAGTTTATTTTTATGTGTGCACCTGCACATGGAGGCCAGAGGTCAACCTCAGTATTTTCCTCAGCTGCTATCCACCTTTTTTGTTTTGTTTTTGACAGGGTCTCTCTGTGGCCTAGGGTTTTCCAATTAAGCTAGGCTGGGTGATCCAGGGATCCACCCATCTCCCAGTGCTAGGACTATGACTGTGCACACCGTGCCTGATTTTTTATGTGGGTTCTAGGGGATCATACTCAGGTCTTCATGTATGCATAGTAACAACTAAGCTATCTCCCCAGCCCTATTTATTAATTTATCTTAAATATGCACATTTGTGAGATATTTTTTAAAATTTTCTCTGTATGTGTATCTGTGTGTGTGTGCGCGCGCGTGTGCGTGTGTTCCTGTACATTTGTCATAGCAAGTGTGTGGAAGTCAGGGGCAACCTTAGGTCTTGGTCCTTGCCTTCTTGTTTGAGACCAGGTCTCTTGTTATTCACTTTTACAGATGCCTAACTAGCTGGCCTGAGAGCCTTTGGGAACTTTCTTCTCACCACCTCTCCTCTCACTTAAGGAGCACTGAGATTACAGCAGATGCATGCGACCACATCTGGGTCCTCATGCGTGTGCAGCACATGCTTTACCTACTGAGCCATCTATCTCCCTAGCCCATATCAGATACTATTTTTATTTTATGTGTTTGAGTGTATTGCCTGCATGTATGTAAGTGCACCCATGACATGCAGTGCCTGGGGAGGTCAGAAGAGGGTGTCAGATTCCCTTGCAACTGGAGTTAGAGTTGTTAGCCATCATGTGGGTGCTGAGAGCTGAACCCAGGTCCTCTGCAGGAATAGCCAGTGCTCTTAACCACTGAGCTATCTTTCTAGCCTTCACCTCCCCCCCACCTTTTTTTCTTTTTTTGCTAGACAGGGTCTCACTACGTAGTTCTGGCTGGCCTAGAACTTACTATATAGACCAGACTGGCCTTGAACTCAAAGATTTGCCTGCCACTGCCTCCTAAGTGCTGGGATTAAAGATGTGTGCCACCATGCCTGGGTATTTTAAATTAAGTCAGTATGTAAAATTAGGTTTACTTTAGTATTAGGTGTGGGCATCTAATACTAAGCTCGTGTATGGTGTATTTGTGTGTATGTTGGCATTCATGTGTGTTTGGTATATGTATGTATTTGGGTGGGTGTGTGCGTGTAGGTACACATGTATGGGAGTGCATGTGGAGGCTAGAGGTCAACATCAGGTGTCTTCAACCATTCTCCAACTGATTTTTTGAGGCAGTGTCTCTCACTGAAGCTGAAGCTTGTTGGTTCAATTAGGCTGGCCAGTGAATTCCAGGGACCTGCCTTTCTCTGCTCCCCACACTGCCATGCCTACCTTTTATGTGGGTACTAGGATCTAAACTCAGGTCCTCATGTTTGAGTGGCAGACACTTTACCAGCTGAGCGATCTCTCCAACTAAGTTCTTCAAAGATATTTTTTTTGTGAGTTTTATATCTGTTTCACACCTTTTTGTGTTTCTCACCATAATGGTGACAAATAGGTTCCATAATATTCCTTGAATTCACCTTTGTTACATAGTTGTTACCAAATGGGGTCTCCTTTATTATGAACTACAAAATTTAACCTTGATACCAATAGTCAGCAGTTACTACAACATAATAGCTTCATACTCTTTAAACATCAAATTTTGAGTAACTCTGTACATTTTTAATCATAATAGAGTTCATACTTGGGATAAAGTAACAGGATTTTTTTTCTTAAATCCAAAATTTATCTTTCAGTTTTTCCTAGTGTAAAGGATTCTCAGGTAGAATTTTGTTGTTTGCAACAAAACAGATATACTGATTGTAAAAGAAGTGATTTCTAACTTTAAGTAGATTAGTCTGACTGGGGAGATAAGAAACCATCTCAGAAATTATAGAGGGTGTGTGAGGGAATCAACCTGCTTATTTTTTTCCAGGCAGTCTGCTAGGGAAGTTTTCATGTGTCCTGTTGTATTAATTACTTTCTCCTTGCTGTGACCAAATACGTAACAAAGCAACTTAAGGGAGGAAGGATTTACTTGGCTTAGTTTGAGGGGCTACAGTTCATCATGACAGGGAAGTATGCTACTGGGATTTCTCACATGTCCGTGTAGGCAGTAGCAGACATGATGTAGAACAGGGCTGTATAACCTCAGCCCCATCCTCCAGGAACCCACTTCATCCAGGTAGGCCTCATCTCTGAAAAGCTCCACAAACTCCCCAAACAGTCCCACGAGCTGGGGACCAAGCATTCAAACACATGAGCCTATTGAGGACATTTTACATCCAAACCATAATAATCTTTACAATAATTACTTGTGAAATGGGTGGATCAAACCAGTTTTACAGATAAAGATGGAAAGATCTGGAACCATTATATAGCTTACTAAAGATCACACCAATAGTACCTAGCAGAATCCATTGGTTCTTAGAGCCTTTGCCTTACTTCGTTGTTAATATCTTTGTTTGTTTCTTTTTGTTTCTTGACATAAGGTCTTAATAGCACTATGTAGACAGGGCTGGCCTCCATCTCACAGAGATCCTCCTGCCTCTGCCTCCCTAGTGCTGGGATTCTGAATTTAGATGAACCAGGAAGAACTATTTTAAGTAGAAGGAAAAGCATACCTGAATAGGCATATTTTCAGGACAGTAAAGAGATTCGCATTGTTAAAAAGTGTTTTCTTCTTTAGGCTTCTGTACACGCTCATCTTTTAGACCTGCTTCTGTTCCTAATTGCTGATTTTGCAGCTAGTCAACTTTTCATTTAAGACACAGGAGGAAATCTTGTGGATTCTTTCAGCAAGTTCAAATTAAGCCCTTTTCATTACTGCCTAATAAGCTGTGTTGTAGTTTTGTTGTTGTTTTAGTCGAAGGTATCACCCCTACAAGGCTCTCAGTTCCATGAAGGCCAGAATCAGGTATTTTCATTATCATCCTGCCCTCCAGCGCTTCACACAGCCCCTCTGTAATGGAAACATTTGCCAAATGACTTCTCTCAGCAGAAGCTTTATCTTTATGACATCATGTGTTTCAAAAATGTTCTTAGACAGAGGAATTCTCTGAAATATTACTTATTTCAGACTGAATGTGGTGGTGATTAATGGGAAGACTGTGGCAGGAGGATCACAAGTTCATGGCTAGCCTGAACTCCATAACAAACTGTCTTAAACAAACATGACTTAATGATTCCTGCTTTACCCAATTATTCTCAGCAAATGTAGTCATTCAGCAGGGGTTCTGTTTTGTTTTGTTAGCAAAGTTGGAAATTACTGTGAAACAGTTTTAATACAGATTAAAGCAAGGCTGTAAGTGATTATTATATTCAGAAAAATGAGAAGACTTAGAAAGACAAAGTCTGTATGCAGCATCTAGATTTAATTTTTTTTTTTTTTTTTTTTTGTCTCTGTGTGTGTGTGTGTGTGTGTGTGTGTGTGTGTGATGAGACTAGAAAGGGGGCCATGAGAAGAAAGGAAATCTTAAGAGAGGGTGAGAGGGAAAGAGAAGTTAATGGAATACTGTGACATGAAACAGAAGGGACACTAATTAGAGGAAGAAGAAAACCAGGAAGATGGGGGAGATGGGAGCAAGAAGGACTTGGGGAGAGTAGGAGAGAGGCTGTTGAATTAGGAAGAACTATAATGACACATATGTGTAAAAATGCCATCAGGAAATCCATTACTTTATAGACTAACTTCAAAAATTAAAAAAGAATTGGGGGGAAAGCCCCTGGTAGTGGAGTATATACTGGTAGATTGGCTAAAAAGATTTCCTGAGCAGTATCATGTTTTTTCCCATCTTGTAAAATGTTTTCTTTTGTGACTAGGTTTCTTTTCTTACTCATAGGACCAGTTGCTAATTTAGTCACTGTTGTACTTATATTAAGTAATGCCTTATTTCTCAATCAAAACCAGTCTATTAAGTAACTCCAAATATTTCAAAAGCATTGTCTTTTTTTTTTTTTTTTTTTTTTTTGAGATGCAGTTTCATTATGTAGCCTCCAATACAGACATATACCATCATACCCGGCTAGGAAAGCTTGTCCAGGGAAGAGCAGAGACTGCAAGATAGATTTTCAGAACTTAAGAAAAATTAAAAGTGGGATCATAATTGATTTATGTCAAATTGAATGTTTTCATTATTAAAATATGTCCTATATTTTACTCTGACCCAGCTTGTGCTTGGTTATTTCTTTAAGTACTCAGTTAATAATTTTAAGAAGACAGCAACATTACAAATGTACTGGGCACAGAGCAATTTTTGTAAAAAATGCAAAAAAATTTACTAGATTATATATGGATTTTGTTTTTAGAAATTGCCATTGTATTTTAACTGCAATCTAACTTCTGTGTGTATGTTGAAATATAACTTCTGATAGCTTTGACTTCATAATAATCTGTGCTTTGTGGCAAATCTTAGAATTAGCAATCACCATTGCAGTATAGCTTAATACTCAGTGTCTGATTAATTAAATTTTCTGGTTTGGTGAGTCTTATCCTACATGTAGTTTAGACTACTTAAAATATTATAAAGATGATAATTATTAGAAAAGCATCAGGGCTAGGGAGATGGCTCGGCAGTTAAGAACATTTACTGTCTTTGCAGAGTTTGCTTCCCAGCAGCTGCCTGTAACTCCAGCTCCAGGGGATCTGAAGCCATCTTCTGGCTTCCGTGGACACATGAACATACATGTTTACACACATATACACACATAAATGAAGAAAAGTAAAGAGAGAAGGAAGGAGGGAGGGAAGGAGGGAGGAAGGAAGGAAGGAGGAGGGAGGAAGGAGGGAGGGAGGGAAGGAAAGGAAGGAAGGAAGGAAGGAAGGAAGTATTTTGGAAAGGAAGCATGCAATCTTTAAATCTGCCTTTGCAGGGAGTCTGAGTTATGAGGCTGGGATGTAGCTCTGCATGCCTAGCCTGTGCAGGGCCCTTAGCACTACAAAAACCAGTAGGAATATCAACCAGTAGTTAGGAGGTGTTTACCTTATGCAGAAATTGTTTCTCTTTTTTTCTTTTTTAAAAAAGTTATTTTGTTTTATGTCTATGAGCGTATTCCTACATGTGTGGTATATAAATGCACTTGTGTCATGCAGCATGCTCCAAGGTCAAAAGAAGGCATCAGATCTCCTGGAACTGGAGTTACGGATGGTTGTTAGCCACCACATGGGTGCTGGGAACCAAACCTGGGTCCTCTGCAAGAACAGTCAGTGCTCTTAACCACCAAGCTACCTCTCCAGCCCCTAGAAACTGTCTCTCTTTAAGGCAAATTTATATACCTACTCTAAAATCTGACGGGATAATTATTATTTTATGTTAAATTTTATATATGAAGATGACTTGACCAGCATCACATGGTTGAACGGTGTGTGAGGCCAGAACCTATGTGTCTAAAACAATTTATACATAATTTGATCAGATTCTTTTTAATTTATTACACATCTTACCGTTCTTCAGTATCATAGATTGATGAGTACGTTCATGTTATCCTTAAAATAAGTGTGATATCTAATCGGGTGTAGTAGCACATGCCTGCAGCCCAGTTCTCAGAAGCACTGGTAGTTTAAGACCAGACTGGGCCATATACCAAGTCTTTGTAATGAAGTAAACATGGTTATTTTAACTCCATGGTTGTTTGTTTCCATGCCAGTCATTTTGGTTATTTTTATGCCTTAGTGTTTTCAATAAAATACTTCAAGGGACTAATGTTTTCCTTTTTCTTCTTTGACAGCATTGGATTCAAAGGCTAACAATTTGTCCAGTCTATCCAAGAAATACCGCCAGGATGCGAAGTACTTGAACATGCGCTCCACTTATGCCAAACTGGCAGCAGTAGCTGTGTTTTTCATCATGTTAATAGTGTATGTGCGGTTCTGGTGGCTGTGAAGTAGTGAGCCTAGTCACTGGTAAGGGAGAACCTAGAACCTGGCAGGTGTGTATTTTCAGGAAGCTGAGCTCACAAGGATGTGTATTAGAATCCGAGTGTAACTTCTGCCTCTAAACACCTTGCAAGAAATGAAAAGACCTATCCTGAAAAAGAAAGATTGCGCCTCATTTAAGGAAGCTTAACCCTATGTGGAAGTCTCTTTTGGGGGCAGAGACTTTCCCTGGGTGCTAAGCCATATGTATTAGGGAACAGTAGGTTATTTTATTTTGTTTGTTTTTTTCCCCGCCCAGTACATTTTTAAGACAGCATAACTGAGGTATTCTCTTTCTGTAATGGAGCCATCGGTGAAATTTAAGGTAGCCAAGCTGTGCTAGCAACATTCTGAAACTCCTTCAAAGATGGCAGTCATTGAGGAGTTTTTTTATTTTAATCAACATTCCTTTTGTTGGTGACATTTGTGATTTTCAGTAAATACGAGTTTTTGAAGACCTTTTAAGGAAGGCTCTATGTGTATGAAGGTTAATGCTATGCTGCACAGATCTGTGTGTTGGGCACTTTACGAAGTTAAACTTTGTTATTTTCCTTTTATAATTTGTTTATTGCACAGTTGCTTTGGAGTTAAATCAATTACGTTAATATGCTTTGAAATTACATAGTATTGCTTGACTTGAAAGACTGAACTTTTTCTCTCATTTACTCTTTAAGCAAAAGACTTAAATTTGCTTTGGGACATTATATTTTGCAGTGTTTGGTTTGTGTTAATATAAGAGTGAGTATAGTCTAGGATAGCCAGAGACCCTGGCTTTAAGAGAAAAAAGACCCAGCTCAGAACTGCAGCTTTGCCCTGCCCCTTACTCCACCTCATCCACTATATTTTCCCCATTCTTGTTTTTTCCTCATGCCATAATTTGCTAACATTTACACACATACACACACACACACACACAGTAGTTTCGTATCCCATAAGTATCCATTCAGGATTTCCCCTAATTGCAAAATAAAAAATTTTGGGCTGTTAATTTGTAACCTTAGAGCAGCTACTCAACACAATGCTCAGGATATTAATCTGAGAGTCTCCAAGAGCCCTTATTCCTGTTTCAGTTCATGTAGATTCTCTAAGAATGTTCTAGAGAGAGATAACTCAAGATAGACAACTCATTAACAGTGGCTTCTATGAACTAATAAAAGTACATATGATTTTCCCCCCTTTTTGCTCAGGGACAATGGGGATTTCATCTTTTACCTTCTGAAGTAGAATTTTTTAAAATAGGAAGAATAGGCCTTTTGGGTATTATCATGAAGGCTGTAATATAACCTGTGACTCCTGCACATACTGCAAATATTTCTTTAAACTGTACTGGAAAATGAGCCAACTTCTTATTTCTTAACATCTTTGGAAAGAATTTTAGTAAGCAATTTTATAGCCCTAATGGATCATCTACTGCTCTGATTCCTGGTAGAGAACAACAATCTTATTTCCTTGTAAGATTAGGAAGGTAGAAATGCTTATTTCATTCCTGAGGCTTTACAGAACTAGAATAAATCTTTTTCTTCTATTATGAACCTAAATCTGCCAATTAGATTTTTGTGCATGAAATACAAAATTACTTTTTATAGAGGATAAGTGCTTTTAAGTCCCTGAAAGGCTTTACCCCTTAAATAATGATATTGGCAATAAAAGCCTTTGGAGACTGAGAACCCAAGTGGTGGCACCATAGTACTTGGTGCTTTTGTGAGAAAGGAGGGTGCAGCTTGCTGCAACCTCGTGGTCAGCAATGAAATAAATACTTCTAGAATGTTCCCTCCAGTGTCGAGTTTTGTTGTCTAGTTAACATACATACACATATCCTTTTCTGGGTGCATTTCTACCTTATCTCTGTGGGCACTAAAGTAAGGGTACCGGGTAAACGATGAACAAAGTGGTAATGAAGAAGACTCATTGCTGTTTTTAGTAGGTGGTTGCAGGAAGATCTGACCAGCAAAAACATATCAGCAAACAAATAGACATTTAAGGTAGAAAGTTACAAAAACCATATGAACTGAGTGATGGCACAATAAGAAATGAGACCTAATTTGTTTCTAGAGAAGCACAATAGTCTAGGTAGTCCACAGTGTGTGCAAGGCACATAGAAAGAGTGAGGCACATTTGGGGAAAGCTGTTGCTCAGAGGTACAGAAGAGTTCAATAATTTGTCCAAAGTCACAGAGCTAAAAAGTGTTGGAGCCAAATGTGAACCCAGGCAGTTTGGTTCCCTGGTCTTTCTGCTGTTGTTTTTAATTTTTCAGGTTTGCACATGTAATGAAGGATCTCATCATGACACCTGCATACCTATGTGTCGTACTTTGTTCTCTTTCATTCCCTCCCCAGGCTCTGCTCTTTTAGCAGCTCTGTTGTGCCACCAAGCAATCAAATAAAATAAGTACCAAATGAATTTTGAATTTAGCAATCAGAAACTTCATAACACAGGTAGAAAATAATTGAAGTGAACTGGGGACAAAAGGCAGATTACCATGGGTTAAGGATTGAACCACTAGGATTAAAATCAGAACTCTCACAGGTAGCTTTTCTGCTTATTGCAACACAGCTTCATTGCTTGTTTTATTAAAACGTCTTGTAGGTATCATAATTTAGAAATATTTGGCACATCGACACATCTGGTTATTTTAATGTCTAACAGTGATTCTTAAAGCTTTTTGAAAAATCTTTGAAAATCTGATAAAAGTGTGTCTTTACTGCAGAAAAATATGTATGCATGCACACTATCTCAGGCTATTCAAGACCACAGCACCTGCTCAAGTCTTGGTCCATGATCCCTCAGTTAAGAACTCCAGATGTATAGGCTTTAGAATTCAAAAGTTAAATACCCAGAGGCCTTGAGAACTGTCCAGCAGTGATGAGTTAGAAGAATGCCACAGTTGGAACTTTTTGGGTGAGATGTATTCTTGAAAACTATTATATGTACAAAAACACTTTTAGCAAATAATATTTTTCTTATAATGCATTCAGAGATCTGGTTCTGGTCTTTTGTTTGATTTGTTTTGTTTCAAGTTCCAGTTACTCTAAATTATATGTAAGGGGTTTAAAATTTATATTTATCAGTAGGAAGCTTTCTTATAAAGGCAAGTTAAGAAATAAAGTAGATGATCCTGGCCAGCAGGATGGCTTAGTGAGTAAAGGTGCTTGCTGCCAAGTCTGATGACCTGAGTTTAGTCCCCAGAACTCAAGTGGTGGAAGGAGAGAATGAACTCCAACATGTTCTCTGACATGGCACATGTTTGCCTATACCCCATACACATAGACACATACAAAAATAAATGAATGTGCATATGGTGATTTGAATGAGAATGTCCCCCATAGGCTCCAAGTGGACGTTTTTGTCCCCAGTTGGTGGCGCTGTTTTGGGGGGAGGTCTTAGAAGGTGTGGCCATGCTGGAGGAAGGATGTCACTGGGAGTGGGCTTAGAGAGTTCTTAAGCCTTGCCAGATCATGAGTCACTCTCTTGCTTCCTGTGCCTGTATGAAGTTGTGAGAGTTTAGCTACTCCTCCTCCTCCGGCCACCTTTCCCACCATGATGGACTGACTCTTGCCCCTTTGGAACCGTAAGCATTTCTGTTCTAGTTTGTTTCTCCATTGCTGTGACAAAACACTGTAACCAATACCAACTCGGGGAGGAAAGGGTTTATTTGGCTTACATCTCCTGGGTCACAGTTCATCAGGCAGCCCAAAGTAGGAACTCAGGGCAGGAGCTGTACCACAGGCTATGGAGGAAGGCTGCTTACTGGCTTGCACTCCTAGCCCATGCTCAGCCTGCTTATACAACACAGAACCACCTGCCCAGGGGTGGCACCACCCACAGTGGTCTGGGCCCTCCACATCACTCAAAAATCAAGAAAATACCCCACAGACGTGACCACAGGCCAGTCCAATGGAGGTAATTCCCCAAATGATGCTCCCTCTACCCAGGTATGTCAGGTTGACAAGTAAAGCTGTCTAGCACAGGGTTTAATAAAACTTACCATAAGAAACCTCATAATTTAAACTCTTACTGTAATAGGAATTTTCACTACTAAATCCTGAGCATTGTTGGTCACAAAATTAAGGCTTTTGATTTAGTGTACTTAGAGCACAGTAGGTCAAGCTTCAAATAGTGAGGCTTTTTAGATAGTTCAGCAGATAAATAGCTGAAGTCCTATAGATGTTACTGTTCTGTAATTACTTGTTAGCTAGTTGGACTGACTTGTGTCATGATTGGATTGTATGTGACATAATTTGAGATGGAATAAGCAAATTGGATTCTGCATTCTTTTGTTCACTGCTGTTTGGTTGGGTAGTGCCAACAAGTGAAACTGTGTTTGTTTACACAGTTGTTCAAATCTTTCCAAGTACCATAACATTCTGTGTTTTAGGTTAAAAAAATTGGAATTTGAACTGTAATATAGTAACATACAGTGGAATTTTTTTCTTTAATAACTATCATTGTTGATCACAAGTATTGGGCTTTATATGTATTATTACAGTCTTTATGATATTTTACCTTTTGCTTGCCTAAGATCACATAGCTAGCAAGTTGGAATACATAGATGAACTTCCAGGGCTGAAGACACTGAGTCGCTACAGTGTGGTGCGGGACCTGTGCACGTGGTGTCCACATTTTACTTTGTCCTGCTAAGTTACTACTGGCATGTGTAGTTTGAAAGCTGCATGTGTTTTTAAATTTCAGTTTATTTTCCCAGTTCTTTTTAAAGTTAGTTCTTTGTCATTTACCCCTCATCCTTTTTAAATTTTGTGCTTGCGGTCTTGCTTGCCATTTCCACCCTTGGCATCTGTTATATCTTTGCTTATTTTGCTCCTTTTTTCATTCAATCTCAGTGTTAATTTCATGATTTCCTGTATCTGATTCATTAGTGGTTTAACAAAATGAAACTCAGAAAAAAAGAACACCCCCTTTCCCTGTGTTCTTTTGCTCATTCTCTTTACTCTTTCCCTCTTTTCCTTCTACTTTTTCATTCTCCAGTGTTTTTATTCACAATCTAACATAGTGCTGTGGCTTTGCCTCTGTCAGAGCTTTGAAATTATTTACTGTGTTTTATTTATTTACTATTTTTAGGATTTATTTTCTTTCTGATTCATTTTATAATATCTTTTTTAATATTTAGTATTTTCATTAACAAAGATAAACTCCTGCTTTAAAGAATCCCTTTGTGGGGCTGGAGAGATGGCTCAGTGATTAAGAGCACTGACTGCTCTTGCAGAGGACCCAGGTTCGATTCCCAGCACCCACATGGCAGCTACAAACTGTCCTTAACCCCAGCTCCAAGGAAATCCGAAGCCCTCTTCTAACCTCCGCAGCATTGCACATGGGTGCATTCACATACATGCAGTCAATACACTCATACACATAAAATAAAAATAATAAAATGTTTTTAAAAAAGAATCCCTTTGTTTAAAAAAAAATGCAGGCAGTGCAAGAATTTAGAACACCAGCTCCCCAAATTTGCCTTCCATATTTAGAGCTTCAACTATTGGTTATATTGCTGATAATTCTCAAATTTGCAAACTTGAGCATCAAGACTTCTTTTGTTGTAGTTGTTTATTGGATATCTGTTTTCAGTGTTCCATAAATAACTTCATTATATCTAAAACACCTTCACATCATTGCTCTTGAAGATAAAACCTAAGCTGTGCTTCCTACTGTATTTCTAGTTTCTAGATCCCACCAGACTCCCCAACCCCCCTTTTTTTCCTACTCAGTTGTTAACCAAATTGTTTTTTCTAACCTCCAAATATTTGTTTTTGTTTTGTTTTGAGACATAGTCTCCATGTAGCCCCAGCTGGCCAGGAACTCACTATTAGACCAGGCTGGCCTGGAACTCACAGAGAACAACTTGCCTCTGCCTTCTGAGTGGTGGGATTAAAGGTGAGCACCACAACCAGCTCCAAATATTTCTTGTCCATCATTTCCATTAGCACCTTTTGCCTTGGTTCAGGCACTTGGTAGCTTTAACATAGTCTCTTGCAAAAGCCTCCTTACTATTTTTGTTATGCATGTCAGTCTTTCATCCATCCCAGTGCTGTCATAATACCAGAAGTCTGATAATAGCCAACTATAACTCGTTTCCTATAGAGTGAGAAGCCACACCAGTTTGCTCCCTGGTTCCCATTCCATTCCAGACTCCTCTTCCACTATGCACAACCTTTATTTTGTTTCAGCCACAGCTTATAATCTAAGTTCTTAGAACCAGTCAAGCCCTTTACCCTGAGCCTTGACTCTCTCTATATACCTTTGCTCCGGATTATCTTTCTGTGCATTTTAGTCTTTGTTTTTCCCCCCCTGAGACAGGGTTTCATGTACCCCAAGCTGGTCTCCACTTTTCTCTGTAACTGAGGACCTTGAACTCCTGATCCTCTTGCCTCCACCTCCCAGGCATTAGAATTACAGGTATGTGCCACTATGCCTGGGCTTTACCTTGTTCTCTCTGCAACTAAAGCTCTCATCTTTCTAAGACCCAGCTCCAATGTCGCCATCTAAAGCCTTTCTAACTTTGTCACACCCCTTTTCTCACCAACCCAGAATAAGCTATGGTTTCATCCTCCCACAGTAACTTGTTCACATTTCTAGCATGGAGTCTAGTAACTCAAAAACACCCGATGATGTGTGCTTGTTTTTGTCTCCAAATGTATGCCTTGTGAGTTCCTAAAATAGAAACCAATCGTTACTCACGCCTTTGAATCTTTGGTTAATTCATTGGACTTAACTCAGCAAATATTTGTGGGATTAATACATTGAATTACAAAATTTTCTGCACAGGTCGGTTTTTTGTTTGTTTGTTTGTTTAAATAATTTCAAGGAAAGGAGAAAAAGCAGGGCACAATGATGTAGGCCCAGTGAAGGAATGGGGCAGGGGAGAAGCACCCAAGAGAAATCAGCACAGAAGGAAAGAGTACATAGTGAGCACTTCGGAGGAGGAGGTCGGCAAGCAGAATCGATCCTTTGGAACAGGAACACCTGAAAGGTAAGGGAGTAAAGAAGGAGCAGAAATGAAGGCAAACAGGAGAAAAGGCTCCAACGTCAATAGACCAGCAGCGGATCTGTCAGGATGCTTCCAGGTGGCCATTGCTCCTGTGAAAGTTGAAAGGTGTATAGATAGTGATGAATGAGCTTTGCATATCAGTGAATGACTTAATATATTTTCATCTGAGAAAGTGACCAGTGCCCACGTATAATGCGGTTATTTTACCATGCTAGTAGGATATTGCACCTGCTGAGCTACCAGTCATTCCCTTGCAGGTTGTGTAGGTCAGTGAGACTTACTGGACTGGGCGTGCTGGGACAGGTAGTGCTGCCAATAAAGGACTAAAGATTATATCTGATAGTTTTTCTTTAGCCACTCTCATTTATAAGCAAAGTATTTACCTGCACGCTTAGAACTTTATAGTACCTTGACTTTCAGATTCATTTCTTAAACTGGGCATGGTGGGTGGAGCCTTTAATACCAGCACTGGGGAAGCAGAGGCAGGTAAGTCTCTATGAGTTCAAGGTCAGCCTGGTCTACATAATTGAGTTCCAGACCAACTGGGCTACAGGGACACCCTGTCTCAAAAAAAAAAAGGGCGGGCATGGTGGCAGGTGGATTTCTGAGTTCGAGGCCAGCCTGGTCTACATAGTTCCAGGACGCTGGGCCTATAGGGAGACCCTGTGTCAAAAAGACCAAAAACAAACAAACAAAAAAAACACTGAAATGTTTTTCTTGGTTTTTTTTTTTTTCAACTTTTTCTCCATCTCTTACAATCTTAATTTTTCTCAGTAGCAGAACTAGGACTTGAAGTATTTTAAAACTCTGTTAAAGTTTTGTTTTGGTTTTTTGTTTGTTTGTTTGTTTTAGGAAAAAAAGACACTAAAAAACCGCCAAGCATAAGCTTAAGAAGTCCTGCCACATCCACCCATTTACTGTAGAATTTATGTAAATACACAGGCTTATCCAGCTGGCACAGCATAGCCTCACTAGA